TGGACGGTGTGTCGACCGACGCTCTGGACGGTGTGCCGAATGACGCTCTAGACGGTGTGCTGGCTGAAGCTCTGGACGATGTGCCGACCGACGCTCTGGATGGTGTGCTGACCGAAGCTCTGGATGATGTGCCGACCGACGCTCTGGATGGTGTGCCGACTGACACTCTGGACGGTGTGCCGACCGACGCTCTGGACGGTGTGCTGACTGAAGCTCTGGACGGTGTGCCGACTGAAACTCTGGACGGTCTGCCAATGTATACTCTGGACGGTGTGCCGACGGAAACTCTGGACGGTGTGCCGACGGAAACTCTGGACGGTGTGCCGACGGAAACTCTGGACGGTCTGCCTATGGAAACTCTGGACTGTGTGCCGACCGTCACTCTGGACGGTGTGCTGACCGACACTCTGGACGGTATTCTGACCGAAATTCTGGACGGTGTGCCGAACAAAACTCTGGATGGTGCGCCGACCGAAACTCTGGACGGTGTGCTGACTGAAGCTCTGGATGGTGTGCCGACTGAAGCTCTGGATGGTGTGCCGACGGAAACTCTGGATGGTGTGCTGACTGACGCTCTGGATGGTGTGCCAAGTGACGCTCTGGATGGTGTGCCGACTGACGCTCTGGATGGTGTGCCGACTGACGCTCTGGATGGTGTGCCGACTGATGCTCTGGATGGTCTGCCGACGGACACTCTGGATGGTGTGCCAACTGAAACTCTGGACGGTCTGCCGATATACGCTCTGGACGGTGTGCCGACGGACACTCTGGATGGTGTGCTGACTGACGCTCTGGATGGTGTGCTGAGTGACGCTCTGGATGGTGTGCCGACTGACGCTCTGGATGGTGTGCCGACGAAAACTCTGGATGGTCTGCCGACGGACACTCTGGATGGTGTGCCGATGGACACTCTGGATGGTGTGCCGATGGAAACTCTGGATGGTCTGCCGACGGACACTCTAGATGGTGTGCCGACGGAAACTCTGGATGGTCTGCCAATGGCCACTCTGGATGGTGTGCCAATGGAAACTTTGGATGGTGAACCTGCCCTGAGGCCGCAGCCTCTTTCCTCTGGCAATGGTGGCAAGATGAGTCTGAGGGGACTTAGGATGTGGTCTCCTCCCAGGGAGCGCAGGAAACAGAGGACTCAGTGGAAGGGGAACACTTCAGGTCCACAACTGACTCTAAACCTAACCTCACAGGTACACACCTGAACCTAAACCCAACCTTACAGGTACACAACTGAACCTAAACCCAACCTTACAGGTACACAA